AGATGCCTGAAAGGAATGAAATAGATCTTCATCAAGTGATGCAGCATCAGAACAAGATTACAGAGATGCTTGTAAAACAGCAAAATTTTTCTCATCTTTCTCAGAGACATTCCTGTGTTCTAAGATGATCCACTTGTCTACAAGTCCTTCATCAGAGCTTTCTAGCACACCATTGACAGTAAGACAGAGAGTAGCCAAGACAAGTTTTATTACCTGGAACAATTCACCAGTGGAGAACCACAAAATCTCGTGTGCAGTTGTGAACATATGATGTGTATCAGGCCTCCCCCTCCCCCCTCTCTGTCCAATGCGTTGGCGTGTGCAGCAGTTTGTCGCCTGCGCACAATCGCTTCCACGCCGTCGCCCACCCTTTTGGCCCCGCCCCCCTCCCTCCCGATACGTTCCATTCATTGGCTACCACATTCTGATGAGCTCCCCCCCCCTCTCCTCCCCCCTCAACTCGCTTTTAAGGGATTACATCTTGAATCATTGCCTCACTTGATGCAGCTAATCTGGCTGTGACGGTCCCACCTGATGACGGAGACTTGTGTTGCCTCCGAAACGTCGTGATCTTTATTTTATTTTATTTTTTATTAATTCTGATGTTTTACCTATGTGACTTTACCGAAAAAAACCTAAGAATTTGAGTCCAACCAGAGGCTACCAGGAAGCCAGGCAGCTACTTCAGAAGCACTATTGTGATGAGCTGAAGATAGCCAGTGCCTATATGGCGAAAGCTTGGCATTGGCCTCAGATCAAAAATGAAGATGGAAAAGCATTGCACACATATGCATTGTTCTTGATAGGATGTCGGAACGCCATGGAAGATATTGAGTACATGGATGAAATGGATAATCTCACGAACATGCGAGTGATCATCTCAAAGCTTCCATACACGATGAGAGAGAAGTGAAGAGGGAAGGCCTTCAATGTTCAAGAAAGACAAGGAAGAAGAGGCAGGTTTACAGACTTGGTGGACTTCGTCGACAAGCAAGCAAAAGTTGCAATGGATCCGCTGTTTGGAGACATGCAGGACACCAACAGAGGCATTGCGGGAAAGGTAAAAGACAAGACTGCAGAGATAAAGACCCATCAGATGAGTGGCCTTAAAGGAAGCAGTTTTGCAATAAGCGTCATGCCTTCTGAAGAAGGGGAAGCACAATACTCACCTCGGGAAAAATAGTCGAGGCAAGCCTGCTAATGGCTTCCAGAAACCGTGCTTGTTCTGTGATCAGGGAACAGCCACAGAAATACAGAATTGAGTTTCTGAAGAAAAGAGGACTTTGCTTTGGATGTCTTATACAAGGGCACCTTAGCAAGGAGTGTAAGAAAAGAATTACATGTCAAGAGTGTAACTTGAAGCATCCAAGCGTGCTGCACGTCCATTAAAGAAAACTGTGTCACCTCTAAAAGGAATGAAGATGGCACGACTGAAGAGAAAGATAGCCTCAAGTGCTACTTGCGTCCCTTAAGCATGAAACCTGTGGCTACACCGGGGCTGGAGACGAACATTGTATTCTCGCCATTGTTCCAGTGAAAATCAAATCCAAACGAAGCGGCGAGTGTATCATGGATCCAGGGAGTTCAGCGACATTTTGTACTGAAATCCTGAGGAAACAACTCAACGTCAGAGGCAGTAGAACTGAAATCCTTCTGCGAACCATGGGTCAGGAGAAGTTGGTACACAGTAATATCCTGTCAGACCTGGAAGTGAGTGGACTTGAAGAGGGAGATTATATTGACCTGCCAATGGTCTTCACCCACAGTGACATTCCAGTGAAGAAATGAAACATACCATTACAGCATGATGTTGAGAGATGGCCCTATCTGAGAGAAGTGCACCTCCCATGCATTGAGGCAGAGATAGGCCTGCTGATAGGAACTAATGCACACAGAGCAATGGAACCATGGAAGGTGATAAATAGTGAAGGTGATGGACCCTACGCAATCAAGACCACTTTTGGCTGGGTAGTGAACGAACCTATGAGAACAGGAGATGCCAATGGAACATGGCAAAGTTTCACAACAAACTGTATCTCCATCTCAAACATTGAAGAACTGTTAGTCCAACAATACAACACAGACTTCTCAGAATGCAGTTGTAAGGACAAACCAGAGATGTCACAAGACGACCATCAGTTCATGCAATCTGTGACAAGGTCAGCAGATTTAACACGTAGGCTTTCGCGACCAATATTATTCATAATAAACGTTTTTGTGTTAGATCGCGTTATTTATAAATGTTGTGTAACCCTCCACCACCCGACACGGCCAATCAGCAAAAAAGTGTCACGTTGACAAAAGACAAATAGTTCACTGCTTTCGCCCACCGGTGTGTTGAAGAGTGAAACCACAACATTTGCAATTTTTGAGTACGACGTTTGGCTGGCAATTGCATCCAGCATCATCGGGCAATTCGCCAAAACTGGCTGATGGACACTATACCACTGGTTTGCCATTGAGAAGTGAGAATATGAAAATGCTGAACAACTGCTGCATTGCAAGGCAGCACATCAGCAGTCTCAATAGAAGGCTGGGCAAGAGCCCAGATTTCCACGAGGACTACAAAATCTGCATGAGAGACATTGCAAAGGGCTTTGCTGTTAAAATGCTTAAAAAGCAGCTGGAACAAGAAGGCAGAAGAGTGTGGTGTATTCCTCACCATGGGGTGTACCACCCGAAGAAAAAGAAGATGAGTGTAGTCTTCGTCTGCATTGCAACATACCAAGGAACCTCATTGAATGAACAGTTACTCCAAAGACCCAATCTCGCCAACACTCTCAATGGTGTGTTGACCAGATTTGGAAAAGAACTTTGGGGTACGATGGCGGACATCGAGTGGTGGCCTGATGGTGACCTGAGTCAAGCCACAGAGGAGTACAGAATGACTGCGTACCTGTTTGGAGTCACTTCATCACCCAGCTGTGCATCCTATGCACTAAGAAGAACAGCCGGAGATGGAAGAACCGAGTCAACACCAGAGGCGGTTGACACAGTACGCATGAACTTCTAAATCGACGACTGCTTGAAGCCTGTGTCATCTGAAGACCGTGCTGTCACTCTGTCGAGAGATCTCCGAACTTTGTGTTTTAGTGAGGGAATCTACTTGACAAAGTGGGTAAGCAACAGCAGAGATGTCATATCGTTTATCACAGAAAAAGAAAGAGCCATAAAGGTGGATAAGATGCTCGGACAAGGACATCAAGTGCTGCTCAAAGAGTCTACCTTTTGGACGGATAGCACTACAGCGCTGAAGTACATAGAGAATGAAACCACTCGTTTCAAGACCATTGTGGCAAACATGATCGCTACAATCCGTGAGGCCACAGAACCGACCCATTAGAAGTATTTCAATACCTTAGTGAACCCAGCAAATCATGCTTCAAGAGGTTTGAAAGCTGAAAACTTCATCAAAAGTGAAAAATGGATTCGGGGACCCAAATTCCTGCGGATGGCTCCAAGTGAATGGCACGAACGACCAATTCAAATGAGTCAAAACTCAGATGACGATGAGATCAAGAAGTCGGTAACAGTCAATCTTCTCGGTATCAAAGAGAACTCTAATACAGTGAACAGACTTGTCAATCACTACTCAAGTTGGTATCATCTGAAGAATGCAGTTGCATGGTTTTTCCGAATGAAAGCGATTCTGCTGCATTTGAGGAATAAAATAAAATAGTTTGAGCTACAATCAGTCAGGCTGAAAGTAACCCAGAGAGGCAGAATATACTTCTCAAGCAGTGCATGCAGAAACTTAAATTCTATATTTGAATCTTTCGTGACTGCAAGGATTCATATTCTTAGGTTTTTTCGGTAAAGTCACGTAGGTAAAAAAATAAAATTAATAAAAGTAAAATATTATTATTTTTATTTTATTTTACTTTTATTAATTTTAATTTTTTACCTACGTGACTTTACCGAAAAAACCTAAGAATACAGAAACTTAAAGCTACACTGGAAAAGGAACTTCTTACAGTATAAAATTTAACCCAGGCTGAGATCGACTTAATCCGCTTCAGCCAGAAGAATTATCAAGACCATTCCAGTCTCCAACAGTTCTGTCTGTCGTGTGTGTGTGTGTGTGTTAAAACGAAGTTCAGCACACTAGAACGACCTATTAAAAAGCTCTGTCTGTTACAAGAACCAGCATTAAAGTATACGGATAAGATAAAGAGAAGGCTCAAGACAACCAATAAGTGGCAGAAATACAAGAAGTTATTATTGTTATAAGTGACGATTATTATTTAGAGTTTGTGGCTCTTAAGGTTAAAGTTAAGAGTAACTGGTATGCTCCCTGCCTAGCCAATTAGGGGCTGGTAATGTAAGAGCCATAAGACAGAAAGTGAGTGTATTATTTCTGTATATACATTTGATGTACATCTGTCATACATTTGTTGACGGACTGGTTATATTTGATTTTGAATATTCCAACTGTTTAGAAACCCCCCCTGTGGTTAGATGCTCCGTTGGTTGAACCCATGACGTCACTTCCGGTTTTTGCAGTATAAACGTGGGGCTATGAGAAGAGCCGGGTGGGGAGCGAATGGATACAGTCTTTTACCGTGCGACAGGGTGATGCACTACGTGAACAGGCGAAGATATAACTTTAGAAAACGCTCGTTTTGTGCAACTAAGAAATAAAGAAACACGTTGAGTTAAGACACCTCAAACACAGGAGATCTCGGGACAGACCCAGCAGGTGCCATGGGTGGGCTGACTGAGATAACCGGCAGATGCACCAAGCTCTACCCCCTACCGTGCCAACTTGCCGCATCTTAGCAGCCCGGTTGTGAAGAGACAGACACACACACAGCCAGACCCAAGTCTCGAACCCATGGCCTCCAATCGTGTCTGCTCAGTGCTTCCGACACAGCCATTGTGAACCCCCCCTCCCCTTCGTGCCTCGCCCCCTCACCGCTTGAACTTATCCATCAATCTCCTCCCCCCTCACCCTCTCTGCCCCCTCCAACCCACCACCACCACCATACGACTCCACGTAGAGGTCATCACCAACGCGATGCTGCAACTGCTTCCGCCCTCGCCGCCCAAATTTGGCGACAGCGCGACCCTGCAGTGCTCTGCAGCAAGCGTCACCAGCGGCGCCGGCCTCGTGTTCTCCTTCTATAAGTATGGCGACCTCATCGCCACGCTCAAGCCCGCTGCCGCGAACCTCGGCTCCGCTAACTACACCATCAGCAACTTGGCATTCAGCCACCGCGGCAGCTACTCGTGCCGCGCGGAGAACCCAGTGAGCAATGGGACGAGCGCGCCCGTGCTGCTGGAGCTCGAATGTGAGTAAAGGGATGGAGAGAGATAGAGAAGAGGTCCCACTACGCTCCACCACCACCTCTCCCCTTCCCCCCCACCACCACCACCACCACCCCCTCCACCAAATTTTATTGAGCGGTCCCCTCGCCCCTGATTCGTGATGATGAAAAGTATCTCGGCGTATTCAGATCCCGGATAAACGCGGAAAGCCATTGTACTCGGGGGCGGCAGCAGCAGCGGCGACGGCATCGTCCAGTCGCCGTCAGCCGCACAATCCACTGCTGGATGATGGCCTATCCTCCCAAGCCATCGCTGTTTCTCACAATCCCTCAATGTGTCAATCCACCTAGCACCTCTTCGTACAAGTGAATCGCAACAGGGGGGCAATTTTGTGGGAACTCAACTGTCTCTTGCCAATAGAGTCTAGCGCGAAATTTATTGAGACCTGCCAATGTCTTGCGAGGCTCGGCTGAGACTCGTGGTGGGCTGGGAGCTGCTCCCTCCCTCTGTCAGCCTCACTGACGCCTATGTAGCCATGCCGACTCAACCCACCAGCCCCCAAGGAAGAAACGAGCGGACCTCCATGTGCTGAGCATGAGCGACGTCACAACCCCACCCACCAATTGGGTAGCCCCCCACCCTTCTGCTCTGGTAGCCCCGCATCCACATCCAGACTTCCCTCCAGATCTATAATTCCCTCCACAACTCAGATTCACATCATCGCAGCACTGGGGGGAACTTCACAATGAGCCAAAACCCGCGCATAAAATTAAAAAAATGGCGTCATGAAAACCACAAAATGGCATCACTGCAGAAATAACAAAATGGCGACCCTGAAAACAAAATGGCGCCGTTGATGTGAAAATAAAGAACCGCATCGTCACCACCGCTCTCCCGACTGCTCCGCAGGCGCGACGACCAGCGGCGCGGCGAACCTGACCGTGCCCAGCACCTCTATTATCTCGACGCCTGGCCTCGACTCCACGTTGTCCTTGAGCTATGCCTTCTTCGGCAAGGCGAACGTCATCTGGACGTTCGGCGAGCAGACGGTGGCGAGCTGGATCCTGCCGGGGAACGGAGCGGAGCCGCAGGAGTTTTCTGAAGGAAACGGCTACGTCGGACGGACTGCAGCCTACGCCAATGGGTCCTTGCGCGTCAAGCTGGCGCAAGTGAAGGACAGGGGGAGCTACAAGTTCACTGCGGTGCCGTGCACGGGACAGCAGTCTAGCGCGGCTGTCGCTCTGATAGGTCTGCAGCATGGTTTATTTTGGTTAGACGGTTGCCGTCGTTGACTTGCTGTTACGCCAGTGTGTGTTTTTGTTAGGTAGCTATTTTTTCTAATCTGCGGTCTGGTGGAAGAGATGGAAAGCGTTTTCTCGAGATTTTCTGTGTTTGGCCTGTGGAATTTGGCTCCGAAGTTACTTTGTGGGCTTTAAACTATTTTTTGACACATTTTTTTATTGAATGCCCTTTTGTTGCACATTTTTTAAAACTTTTAAATACACTTCAAACTTTCAGAACTTGCCACACCAACTGCACTGTTAAAGGTTACACTGGGGGACCTTTGTCTGGGTGTGGTGTTTATGTACATAGGCGCTACCACTCCTCGCCAACGGCACGTGCCCTAACTGCCCTGTCGCAGGCGACGCGTTGCTAAACGCCACAGCTCATGTGAAACTTCTGGATGTATGATCTCATCTCAACATGAGACTAGCTAAACCAGCTTTCTGTTAAACCATGGCAACTCGTCTCCAAGAGTATGCATTTGTCCACTCCGTATTATCTTGCTGATCAACGCGCACCGGGCCTCAGCAGACCCACGTCAATCCTCAGCCCATGGCGATCTGCCATTGCCCGCCACGTGCGAACTTTGTACCAGAATCAGAGCTATGAGGCTTTTATTCACAGAAGCCCAGTTGGGGCGATGCCACCAGCGCAGTCCCTGTAAGACCTGGAAGCAGTAACAGGGCTCACGTCATGGGGAATCCGTGCCTGAGCCTGAGCCTGAGGTGTCGTTCCAAAGAGCTCACTACGTACATGTGATCGGTGCGCATTCGTGATAGACTGGACTCGTGAGAGTGCAAGATAAGAAATGCACTTGACTTACTAACTTACTATATTTTACTAACTTGTGTTTCTTCACACACCTGTGAGACGGACTAACTTGTGTTTCTCCCCACACCTGCAAGACTTACTAACCTGTGTTTCTTCACACACACACACGTAAGACTTACTAACCTGTGTTTCCCCACATACACGTAATACTTCCTCACTAACTTGTATTTCCCTACACATGTAAGACTTTTGTTTCCTAACAGACATACGACTTACTAATTTGTTTCTCCACACACACACACGTAAGACTCGCTATCTTGTATTTCCCCACGCACGTACGACTTACTACCTTGTGTTTCTCCACACGCACAAGTAAGACTTCCTTACTAACTCACGTTCCCCCTCCACCCCCCCCCCCCCCCACATCACAGAGGATCCGTGGCCTGCGACTCGCTCGGCCATCATCGGCGGCGTGGTGGGCGGAGTGGGCGGCCTGCTGCTGCTCCTGCTGCTGCTGCTGCTCATCCTCATGTGCCGACGCAAGCGCAAGCAGAAAAAGAGCCCGCCGCCCAAATCCAACAAGAACACGAGTGAGGGGCCCCTACCCCCCCCCCCCCCCCCGCACTGCCCCCTCCACTCCCTTCCTTTTAAAATTAAAGATTTTACGTGTTTTACAATTGTGCAACAAAATCAATCTGTGCTCTCTTTTTATCCTCTCCCTCCCTCTCCATTCCCCACAGAGACTCAAGTGGAGACCGTGAGGTGAGTTGGTGGTGGTGGCCACCACCCCCCCCACTCCCCCCACCCCCCCACCCCCCCTCACCCCCCCTTTTCTCCGTTGCAACCAACGAGGTCGCACGCCGCTTGACCTCAGCATGGCGAGATGTTAACTACCTCGCCTAGTCTACAGCAGGTCGTAGGTTAGATCCTGACCCCTGACGCCTGCTGCTGTATATTTGGAGTCTGCGTCTCTCTCTCTCTCTCATCATCATCACGGTGGCTAGGAGATGTTAACTATCTTGCCTGGTGTACAGGAGGTCGTGGGTTCAGATGCCGACCCTTGTTGACGGCCTTGTTGACGGCGTTGTTGACGGCGTTGTTGACGGCGTTGTTGACGGCGTTGTTGACGGCCTTGTTGACGCAGACGCATGGAGCCACCGCCGGAGCACCAGAGGCCGTGGACGACGGGCGACGCCATGGGCGGACGGAACGGCACGCTCAACACGTCGTTCCACCCCAACGGGAACGCACACACCGGTGGGACGACGCCTTTTCCACTGACACCAAACCGAGCCATGCCAAGGCCGTGCCGGGCCAGCCTGGCTCGGGTCGGGTTGCTTTTCCACTGGCACAAACTGAGCCATGCTGAGTCAGCCTGGCATGGTCCAGGTTGCTTTTCCACTGGCACAAACCGAGCCGTGTTGAGCCAGCCTGGCGCGGTACAGTTTGCTTTTCCACTGGGACAAACCGAGCCATCTGAGCCAGCCTGGTGCGGTACGGGTTGCTTTTCCACTGGCACAAACTGAGCCATCTGAGCCAGCCTGGCATGGCCCGGGATGCTTTTCCACTGGCACAAACCGAGCCGTACCAGGGCCATGCCGAGCCTCGGGGAGACCGGGTCTCCAGGTCTCTGGGTCGGAGTTTCGAGCGAGACGCAGGGAAGGTGGTGGGACCGGCTTCTGCGTTTGCCGTCTGTGCTGCTCCGTGTCTCGACGTCCCCGCGTGTGTCTTCCCGTCCCAGACACGATGGGGCGATCGAACCCGGCCTACAACTCCTACAGGCCCGACCTCTCCAGAGGAGCACGCGGTGAGGCAACGGTCGCAGCGCGACGGCCACTCGTGTCCGAGCGTACCCGGGAGGAGGGGGGGGGACCAGGAGGTGGGCCCAGTCAAAGCTTGGGACGGCCAACGAGAAGCCGACCGGCGTTTTCGCGCGAAATTTCTCGCGAAATTACTTCACCAGGGAAAAAATGGCGGCACGTTGTCGCGGTGACGTCGCCATGGTGACGTCACGGGAAAGTTGCCCGATGTTGCGTCGCGTATTTGGCACGTGATGTTAGCGTGTTCGGCACGTGACAGTAGCGTGATTGCGTCGTGACATTAGCGTGATTGCCTCGTGACGTTAGCGTGTTCGCTGCGTGACGTTAGTGTGTTCGGCACGTGACAGTAGTGTGATCGGTCCGTGACGGTCGCATGTTCGCCGTGTGATGTTAGCATGTTCGGCACGTGACAGTAGCATAATCACCCCGTGATGTTAGCGTGTTCGCCACGTGACGTTAGTGTGTTCGCCCCGTGACAGTAGTGTGTTTGCGTGGCGTGTAGGCGGCGACGACGACGACTGGAGAATGGATCGCAGCTCAGTGAGACCCCCAAGTGAGTGTCAATGTTTACCGCTCCTCCTCCTGCGCACAAAGACAAAGATCCCACGTGTAGCCTCTCACAGACTGTTGGGGCAAGTGCTGTTAGCGAGTAGCTGGCCACCCACCCACACGAGCGGGTGGGTGGCCAGCACCACGCCCGGCCGCCTTTGTCTCCCCCAGCGGCGATGTTTACACAGCACATCGCACCAGGTGCTCAATTGAGGCCGAGTCGACCTCGGGGAGGCCCAGGACCGGTTCAGATAATCGTCACTGGTGTTGGGACTTTGAGCGGGAATCGAACTCGGGTCGCCGGGTTCATAGCGCAGCGTAGCGCTAACTGCTACACACACACGTACACACACACGTACACGCACACACGCATACACGTACACACACACGCACACACACGTACACACGCATGTACACACACACACACGTACACGCACACACGCATACACGTACACACACACGCACACACACACGTACACACACACGTACACGCACACATGTACACACGTACACACACATGTGCACACACACACGTGCACGTACACGCACACACGCACGCACACACACATACACACACACACAGGTACACACATACACACACACACGTACACGCACACATGTGCACACACACACGTGCACGCACACGCACGCACACACACGTACACACACACAGGTACACACGTACACATACACACACACACGTGCACGCACACACACACATGTACACACACGTACACACACACCCATACAAGAGACAAAGGTTCCCTGTGTAGCCTCGACCATAGCTACAGGGGGATGGGGGGAGATAGGTGGGGGGGACCGCGCCTTTGATGACGACATGGCGATGGCGATGACGACGATGACGCGGCAACGATGACGACGTGGCGGCGATGACGATGACGTCGTTCGTGCGCGTTCCTGAGTGCCCATTGGCTGGCCGGTGCTGTTACCGTGGCGACTGCTTGTGCTGACCGTCCGCTCCCCGCAGGCGTGGACGAGATGTCCCTGCCGGCCGGCGCCGATTTCTCCTACGCCAACAGATACTCTAACTCCACAAAATCACAAGGTGAGCGTCGCAACACCAACACTGCCACCAACCACCCACTGACACCAACACCAACACCCACTGACACCACCATCACCCACCCACCCACTAACACCATCACCACCCACCAACACCACCCACCCACCAACACCACCCACCCACCAACACCACCAACACCACCCACCAACCAACACCACCAACACCACCCACCAACACCACCCACCAACCAACACCACCAACACCACCCACCCACCAACACCACCAACACCACCCACCAACACCACCCACCCACCAACACCACCAACACCACCCACCAACCAACACCACCACCAACACTACCCACCAACACCACCAACACCACCAACACCACCAACACCACCCACCCACTAACACCACCACCACTACCACCACCCACCACCACCCACTGACACCACCACCACCCACCAACACCACCACCCACCCACCCACTGACACCACCACCACCACCAACATCACCAACACCACCCACCCACTAATGCCACCACCCACCCGCCACCCACCCACCCACCAACACCACCACCCACCGACCCACCAGCACCACCACCACCAGCCACCCACACCACCAACATCACCACCCACCAACACCACCCACCACCACCACCCACCCACCACCACCACCCACTAAAACCAACACCACCAACACCACCTACCCACCACTAACACCACCCACCACCAACACCACCAACACCACTCACCCACCACCAACACCACCCACCAACACCACCCACCAACCCACCCACCAACACCACCAATACCACCCACCCACCCACCACCAACACCACCCACCCACCACCAACACCACCCACCCACCACCAACACCACCCACCCACTCACCACCAACACCACCCACCCACTAACACCACCCACCCACCAACACCACCCACCCACCACCAACACCACCCACCCACTAACAATACCACTACCCACCACCACTCACCGCCCAACCACTAAACTTCCCACCACCACCCACCCACCACCACCAACACCACCCACCCACCACCAACCCACCCACCCACCACCACCCACCCACCCACCACCCACCACCTACCCACCACCCACCCACCACCTACCCACTGAGGGGGACCAGGGCATGCATCTAACCGGGGTATTTTATTTTCTTCCACAGATCCTTTAGACAATGTCGGGTTCCCGGACTCCCTGTCAGAGGTAAGATACCCGACAGAATGACCAATATACAAAACCACATGTTCTAAGTGTCTTTCAATATAAATCAGTCGTACAGACCATTCATAAGTACGGTACATTATTACATGTAAGTATGTAAGTAAGTTGAAGTTCTTTCGCACTGCACATAGCCACCGTAGTCATCGGAGGTGAAGCTTGGAAAATGTAATTCTTAAACTGTAAATGACAACATTAAACTATCTCTCTGTACCTCTCCCCTCTTACCCCATCTCTCTCCCTGTGTCTCCCCCCTGTGTCTCTCTCATCTCTCCCCGCGTGTCTCTCTCTCTCTCTCTTCCCTGCATGTCTCTCCCATCTTCACCCTCTCTCTTTCTGTGTATCTCTCTCTGTGTGTGTCTCTCTCACTGTATCTCTCTCTGTGTGTCTCTGTGTGTGTCTCTCTCACTGTGTCTCTCTCTCTGTGTGTGTCTCTCTCACTATCTCTCTCTCTGTGTCTCTGTGTGTGTCTCTCTCACTGTGTCTCTCTCTGTGTGTGTCTCTGTGTGTGTCTCTCTCACTGTGTCTCTCTCTGTATGTGTCTCTCTCACTGTGTCTCTCACTGTGTCTCTCTCGGTGTGTCTCTGTGTGTGTCTCTCTCACTGTGTCTCTCACTGTGTCTCTCTCTGTGTGTCATTCTCTTTGTCTATATTTCTCTCTACCCCCCCCCCCCTCTCTATATATGTGTATGTCTCTCTTTGTCTCTTTCTGTCTCTCTCTCTCTACCCCGCTCTCTCCCTCTTACAGCTGACGAACGTGCCATCGAACCCCAAGTTCCGAGCCATGACTGCCGTGTGAATGCAGAGTGCGCTGGTCTCACGGCACACAAATCGCATTGTACGTGCGTGCGTGTGCGTGCGCGTACCCACCAACACCAAAACCCGCCATTCAGCCACTAAGTCAGTTTAACACGCAGTAGGCTTTCACGACCAATATCATCAATAGTACAGGTTTCTTTTGGTTAGATCACGTAAATATATAAATGTGTCGTTAAACCCACCAACCCCCCCGACACAGCCAAATTAGTAAGGTTTGTCTCGTAAACAGAACAAAATGTTACAAATTGAACGATTGCTGTAGTAGTAACTAATTGGCGCGTTGTTTACTTCACAAACCTTACTGGCTGTGTCGGGTGGTGGAGGGTTACGACACATTTATACTTACGGGATCTAACCCAAAAAACCTTTATTACGTGTAATATTGGTCGCGAAAGCCTACATGTTAAATGTTAAACGTATTGTGGGAGCCTCGTTTTTAGTGTAAAAAGAATGGATAATACGCTGTCATTTGATAACAATTGTATGTTAATAGCCTGAAAAAGTCTCCACGATTGTAAATGTTGCGGTGTAGTGTGAATACCGCGGCGCATTACGGAACAACAACGGCTTTCTCAGCTGTGGACGAATTCCAGGTTAAGTGACGCTTCACTTTCTCATAAGCACATTGAGTGGTGCCCGAGCGTACGCATAAGGGGGGGAGGGGGGGGGGGGTGGAGCGTTTTATATTTGGTATTTTATTTTTATTCACTTCAAATTAGACTTTGTACAAAAAAAATCTTGTCGTTCAAGTACTCGGTGTAACCTCTATAATCGGTTTGTATGTTGATCGCCCAAAGTAAATCTTTTTTTTAACGAGAACTTTTTTCGCCAACGATCTCGGCAACAGAAGTGACGGCGCGCTTCGGGAAGAAGTACCGGCGTCGCAGGAAGTGACCTCACAGGAAGGATCGTCACTTCCTGTGACATCACTTCCTGTGACATCACCTCTTGTGACGTCACTTCCTGTAACATCGCTTCCAGCGACGACAAAATAGGAAATAGTGTATTTATACTGGAGGAGGAATCCGATGAGCTGTAAAGATCTTTTTCACAGATGTCAGAACCTTGCAACAACAAAGAATACAAACAAAACACGACAGGAAACACGATGCCACATTTACATCAACCCCAAACAACAACAAGAACTATTCCGGATCATGTGAATTTTTAAACATCGAGGTCCCCGAGTTTTTTTGGCGTTTATATATCAAATGGAAAATCAGGAAAAACATCCCACGCACACACGAACAAACATGCATGTCCGATTCACATTGTATGTGCGCACACGTGTACGCACGCATAAACACGCACTCACGCATGCAAGATCTTACTTGCGCGCATACACACACCCAAACATATACAGGGTATATATGTTCGCACATTCACCTATAGATGTGCAATCACTTGTATACCGATATATTTATAATAAATTGGTGCCTTTGGTATTCGGGCGTTCCTTATAGCGCAAGACTGGGACATTTATGCAAACAAGTGCGCATACAAATGTACACAACGCTTCTGTAGAGCCGGACTTTCTGGTCATTTCCGTGATGATCGGGGGTCCCTGTAAACACGTGCCAATCGGGTGGAGCAGCGCTGGTGGTCTCCGGGGAAAGACGTGACCCAAACTGCATTCTGCCTGGCCCATGGGCAGCCACACACCCTGAAGCAAACCGCAATTTGAAACTGGAGTTCGCAAACGATATTTGGGGGCGGACACGGTGGCTAGGAGATGTTAACTACCTCGTCGGGTATACAGGAGGGTGTGGGTTTGATCCCGACCCTGATGACGCCTGCTGTTGATTTGGAGTTTGCATCTCTCTCATCATCACGGTGGCTAGGAGATGTTAACTACCTCACCGGGCATACAGGAGGTCGTGGATTCGATCCCTGACCCTGAGGATACCTGCTGTTGATTTGGAGTTTGCATCTCTATCATCATCATCACGGTGGCTAGGAGATGTTAACTACCTCGCCGGGTATACAGGAGGGTGTGGGTTCGATCCCGACCCTGATGACGCCTGCTGCTGTATATTTGGAGTTTGCATCTCTCTCATCATCATCACGGTGGCTAGGAGATGTTAACTACCAAGCCTGGTATACAGGAGGTCGTGGGTTCGATTCCTGACCCTGATGATGCCTACTGTTGATTTGGAGTTTGCATCTCTCTCATCATCACGGTGGCTAGGAGATGTTAACTACCTCGCCGGGCATACAGGAGGGCGTGGGTTCGATCCCGACCCTGATGATGCCTGCTGTTGATTTGGAGTTTGCATCTCTCTCTCATCATCACGGTGGCTAGGAGATGTTAACTACCTCACCGGGCATACAGGAGGGCGTTGGTTCGATCCCGACCCTGATGATGCCTGCTGTTGATTTTGAGTTTGCATCTCTCTCTCATCATCATCATCACGGTGGCTAGGAGATGTTAACTACCAAGCCTGGTATACAGGAGGTCGTGGATTCGATTCCTGACCCTGATGATGCCTACTGTTGATTTGGAGTTTGCATCTCTCTCATCATCACGGTGGCTAGGAGATGTTAACTACCTCACCGGGCATACAGGAGGTCGTGGGTTCGATCCCTGACCCTGAGGATACCTGCTGTTGATTTGGAGTTTGCATCTCTATCATCATCACGGTGGCTAGGAGATGTTAACTACCAAGCCTGGTATACAGGAGGGCGTGAGTTCGATAACAACCCTGACGCCTGCTGTTGTATATTTGTAGTTTTCGTGTCTCTCTCTCTCTGTGGTCGCGTGGATTTTCTCTGGGTCCTCTGGGTTTTTCCCCTCCACATTTAGTATCACAGTCATGCGTTTTAGAGATTTTATAAATTTGCACGTGATGATGGTAAGCCACTATTGTTGCGCTATCATTTGCGTTGGCCAGGTCGCTTCTGAAAAGAAGAGCTTTCCTAGTTCGGTGGCCATTACCTGGTAAAATCAAAATATCTTCTTGGTTCTTTCGGTACAGTCACGTAGAAGGGAAATAATAAAATAATAAAAATAAAACATAATAAAATAATTCTCACGACGTTTCGGCCACCACGCAAGCAGCCGTCCTCAGGTGAAGAACAGGTCTGTCGGGGAGACAGCGCCTGAATTATTTTATTATTTCCCTTCTACGTGACTTTACCGAAAGAACCAAGAAGATGAATCCCTGCCGTCACGAAAGCTTTAAATCGAAAATCAAAAGAGTTTATAGTTTATAGATAGTTATCCTTTACCGCGAGCGTCAATCAGAACGTATATACATATTTCTTAAACCTTTATCGTTTGTCAATAATATTCGCGCAAGGAATAAACGCCTATGAATATTCACGGCTCGGCAACGTACGTCCGGCTTTCGAATCGTGAGTCTTAGGACTTATGTTCCAGCAGGGCCTTGCCAAGTTTATTCGCAGTGGAAGGCAGGGGCATGGTGTTGCGGTTGTGGTGGTGGTTGCCGTCGCTGCTACTGCTGCCGTGTCGTCCCCGACTGAGTAAACTTTAATTTTGTCTAGGTGGCCGGTGCCTACTTCGCGTTGACGGCGATGTGCAACACTGCGTCTCCAGTTTTGTGAGCGTGTGATTGTTCGCCCCTCTTAACGGCATTCAGCGTCTCTGTCCTGTGTGTGCGTGTTCAACTTTATTCGCACCACCGGACGTAGCCAACCGTGCCAACCGGAGCTGCTGAGGGAAGGGGCAGCCGGCCGAACACAACAACAAACGGTTGTAAAGAAATGAGTTTGTCAATCGAGACGACTGTTTAAAAAGTGCACAGCTCCCAGTGGCTGCCTAATATCGGATTGCAAGAGCGTTCCAGACGGCCGCAGGGAGCACATCCGAATGCGCACGCGATGCGGTGAACCTCTTTTTTTCGACGGCCGAGCTGAAAGCTGCCGCTGTTGCTGCGGGGATTAGCGGAGTTTGCACGACGACGACGGTGGCTTATGCTCCTTGACGAAATCAGCGACGATGCGAGGACGGAATTTGGGACGGAACCGAAATGAAGGAAGAAAAATGTAGAAATAATTTAAATTGTATAATGCTTATTCCATCCTAGGATTCTCCGCAGGGAACTAAAACAGAACCCAGGGGCAGCCTACCGAGCTCAAGAGGGGAGGCGACTTTAAAGCGATGGGTTTTAAAAACAACACTTTGATCGCCCAAAGTAAAGAAAGAGAACGTTGACACAAAGTGTTCCATCGGCCACGGTGTAAATCTTTTATTTAAGGAAACCTTTTTCGTAAATGATCTCGGCAACAGAAGAGTGCCAACGTGACGTCACACTTTAGACGGGGAAGAAGTACTGCCATCGCAGGAAGTGACCTCACAGGAAGGAGCGTCACTTTCTGTGACATCACCTCTTGTGACGTCACTTCCTGCGGTGCGCAAGGCATTCCATCGTTTTGGGTTTGCTGCGAAAGTGACGTCACAGGAAGTGACGAATTCGAAAGATGCCCTCGACTTGCTCCTTTATTCTAGATTTGAAGCTTTCGTGACTGCAAGGATTCATACTCTTAGTTCTTTCGGTAAAGTCACGTAGGTAAAAAATGAAATTAAAATTAATAAAAAAATAAAATAATAAAATCTAAAACGTCGTGATTTCATTATTTTATATTTTTATTAATTTTAATTTCATTTTTTACCTACGTGACTTTACCGAAAGAACTAAGAGTATTGCTCCTTTATCCCCCCGGTCGTGGACAATGTCAAATTGTTCAGTCCAAAAATTCATCGCTGCCGTTCGTTTTCGCCGCGTCGGATTGTACAGCGAGAGCGCTCCGTTGTCCGATTGGGGCGGCGGTGGTGATGGCGGTGGTGATGGCGGTGGTGGTGGTGATGGTGGTGGTGATGGCGGTGGTGATGGCGGTGGTGATGGTGGCGATGATGGCGGTCGTGATGGCGGCGGCGGTGGCTGCGGTGGTGATGGTGGCGGTGATGGCAGCGGCGGTGGCTGCGGTGGTGATGGTGGCGGTTGATGGCGGCGGCGGTGGCTGCGGTGGTGATGGCGGCTGCGGTGGTGATGGCGGTGGTGATGGCGGCGGCTGCTACGCTGCTACACGTGTGATCCGTAACTCAGCGGCAGCAGCGGCGAGGGTTGGATCGCGCGTACGGGTGCGGTGAAACTCCCGTGCCGTGGGTCGTCGAGGTAGAGCCGTGCGGAGTGGACTAATCACGCCATCTGTTTCCATCTGTACGGCAGCGGAGGAGGGGGGGGGATTGAGCGTTGCCCCCTTGTGCAAAGCTTTGGGGTTTTTTGTTTGTTTTCCGGGTGCTCTGGTGTACTCCCTACCTGGTGCAGGAATCCATCGATGTTCTTGTTTTTGTTTACGAAAGGGGAATGCGTTCTGTTTAAAGGGGGGCGGGGAGGGGGTTGGGATAATAAACCACAGGCGGCGTGCGAAACGAAATGGCGTCAGTCGGGGGGAACGGGTTTTCCCGTCGGTTTAATGCGTAGATGTTTTTTTGAAAGCGAGTGGACGCGTACCGGACAGTCGTTCCACCTCCTGCTCCTATTCCATGGGTCTTTCGGTAAAGCCACGTAGATAGAAATAAGTATAACCCGTTTTTCACTATAAATCCTTTATATGCGTGGCGGCTAGAGTCCTCTCGTCCTCTGGCTTGAGATGGCTGCCACCTATGGGTCAGATGATTGTCTGCCAGTATTAAGCAATTGGTAATTCAATATTTAATTTGTTTTCCCTAAACAGTGTAAAATTTAGGAAAACATTTTTCACGAACATTAATTGTCTCGCACAACGAGTCTGTGTGCAAAATGTCAGCTCGATTGGATCACGGGAAGTGGGTTAAAAAACGACCGAAAGGTTTGCACGGTCGTAAGCAAGCAAGCAAGCACGCAAGCAAGCGAACTTAATATAAAGGATTTAAAAAAAATAACAATATCACGACGTTTCGATCGCAACACAAGCAATCGTCATCAGGTGAAAATATATAGAGGGAGAGCTGCTAACCTACAACAAATGCCACCACCTCATGTCACTTTTCACAATACAACAATAATAATGATCAAGAATATTAAATCGATTGAATCATAATTAACTTTAAAACCAATTAGAATTAACCATTTCAGGGCAACTCACCGGAAATAATTTGCTGCATGTTGGAATGATAATCTATAAACGATTTTTTTTTATTTTAGAAGCTACCTGGCGATCACAGATGATAGCTCAACGAAGTGGGCTTATCGTCATCATCATCACGTGGACATTTATAGCAGCCAAATAACTCTAAACGCGTGGTGATGTTGATTCTAAATGTGGAGGGGGGAAACCGTAGGACGTGGAGAAAAATCCACGCGACCACGGGAAGAGAGAGGAAGAGAGACACGCACATTCCAAATATACAGCAGCAGGCGTCAGGGTCTGGATTGAACCCACGACCTCCTGTATCCCAGGCGAGGTAGTTAACATCTCCTAGCCACCGCGGTGCCCTGAATGGCTGGCAAGGCGGCGATGCTGATGATGTGGAGCCGTTCCATTTGCCACTGCTGGGGATAGGGTGCCACAGTGATGAGATGTTAACTACCTCGCCTGGTCTACAGGAGGTCGTGGGTTCGATCCCGACCCTGACGCCTGCTGCTGTATATTTGGAGTTTGCGTCTCTCTCTCTCTCATCATCATCACGGTGGCTAGGAGATGTTAACTACCTCGCCTGGTCTACAGGAGGCAGTGGGTTCAGATCCCGACCCTGACGCCTGCTGCTGTATATTTGGAGTTTGCGTCTCTCTCTCTCATCATCATCACGGTGGCTAAGGGATGTTATCTACCTCGCCTGGTCTGCAGGAGGTCGTGGGTTCGATCCCGACCCTGATCGAACAAAATTTTCCGTCATCACCCCCCCCCCTCTCTCCCCGGGACGTCGGGAAAATGAAAATGAAAAAAAAATATGTTTTTCGACGGGACGGCTGTGTGTAAGTTGGAGTCAAACGAAAACAAAACTCGGCCAAATTGTCGTATGTTCGAGATACACACACACACACACACGGGTTAAACACAGTATGCAGGCTGTTTTATTTTCTCTATATAATGTGTAATTTTATAAGCGCTGCCTAACGAGGTATTTAGTTTCACGTTGGTGTAAAAACCAAATGTGAACTTTGGGACGCTTCCATTTGTCTTCGGCAGCCAAAGTTGACCGAGCGGGTGGGCGAGTGATCGAGCGAAGTTCGCGTGTAAATTGTTTGCAAGTCTTATTAAAATCTTGGAGATTAAATACACGGGTGCCGCGGTGTTGTGTGAGTGTGTGTGCGTGTGTGGGGGTGTGAGCGGGTGGGTGAGTGTGTGAGCGGGTGGGTGAGTGTGTGAGCGGGTGGGTGAGTGTGTGAGCGGGTGGGTGAGTGTGTGAGCGGCTGGGTGAGTGTGTGAGCGGGTGGGTGAGTGTGTGTGTGGGTGGATGAGTGTGCGGGTGAGTGGGTGGGTGAGTGTGTGGGTCGGTGAGTGTGGGGGTGTGTGAGTGGGGATTAGTGTGTAGGTGTGGGGGTGAGTGAGTGAGTGTGTGAGTGAGTGTGTGGGTGTGGGGGAGAGTGTGTTAGCGGGTGGGTGTGTGTATCGGTGTGTGTAGGTGTAGCGGTTAGCGCTACGCTACAAACCCGGCGACCCGTGTTCGATTCCCGCTCACAGCCAACACCACCAGTGACGATTATCTGAACCGGTCCTGGGAGTTTTTTTTAAGGGGAGACAAAGGCGGCCGGGCGTGGTGCTGGCCACCCACCCCCTCGTGTGCCGTGCCGGCCTTCATAGGTGCTCGCTAACAGCACTTGCCCCTACAGTCTGTTACAGGCTACACGGGGGATCCTTGTCTTTGGCTGTTCGCAAGAGTTTTATTTTATACTGGTAGAAACCAGTTACACCAACCTACAGGGGATTGCTGTGGCCGCCTTTGTTCACACCAGACCAGTTAATCTCGTTTGAGGCCGAGTCGACCTAGGGGAGGCCCAGGACCGGTTCAAATAATCGTCACCGGCGGTGGCCGTGAGCGGGAATCGAACTCGGGTCGCCGGGTGCGTAGCGCTCATCCGCTACACACGTACACAAAGACAAACAAAGATCCCCCATATAGCCTTAACAGACTGTAGGGGCAAGTGCTGTTAGCGAGCACCTATGAAGGCCGGAACGGTACACGACCGCCTTTGTCTCCCTAGCGGCGATGTTTACACACCGCACCAGGTACTCATTTGAGGCTGAGTCGACCTTGAGGGAGGCCCAGGACCGGTTCAGATGATCGTCACTGGTGTTTGCCGTGAGCGGGAATCGAACCCGGGTCGCCAGGTTCGCAGTGCAGCGCGCTAACCGCTGCACCACCGCTCCCCATAATCAAACACACACACGTACACACACACACATACACACACAGACACGTGTACACACAAGCACGCACATTCACCCTTAGTCAACACCTCGCTTGTGTATTAATTCCCTTAATCAATCACTCAACCACTCCCTCACCACACCATCACTCTGCCCACAGAGCCACCCACTCATTCATTCACTTAACTCGCACACGCATGCAACCGCTCACCCATCTCCTCGCTCACCCACTCACTCACCTGCCCACCTACTCACTCACCCATTCACCAACACACCCACCCACCCGCCCACCTATCTACTCGCCCACCCACTCACCCACCTGCCCACCTACTCACTCACCCATTCACCCACACACCCAGCCACCCACCCACCCGCCCACCTATCTACTCGCTCACCCACCTGCCCACCTACTCACTCATCCATTCACCCACACACCCACCCACCCACCCGCCCACTCATCCACTCCCTCACCTACTCACCCACCCGCCCACTCACCGACTCGCTCATCCACTCACCCACACACTCACCCACTCACCCACCCACCCGCCCACTCACCTACTCGCTCACCCACTTACCCACTCACCCACCCACCCGCCCACTCACTCATCCACTCGCTCACCCACCCACTCGACCACCCACCCTTCCCACTCATCAAATACATCGCTCACCATTGTGTGTGTGGGGCGTAGAGGTAAGAGGCGTGGTGAGTCTCGAGTTAAGAACAACTATACAGACATCTCTTCACCATTGTGTGTGGGGCGTAGGGGGTAAGAAACGTGGTGAGTCTCGAGTTAAGAACAACTATACAGACATCTCTTCACCATTGTGTGTGTGGGACGTAGGGGGTAAGAAACGTGGTGAGTCTCGAGTTAAGAACAACTATACAGACATCTCTTCACCATTGTGTGTGTGGGACGTAGGGGGTAAGAAACGTGGTGAGTCTCGAGTTAAGAACAACTATACAGACATCTCTTCACCAATGTGTGTGGGGGGCGTAGGGGTAAGAGCCGTGGTGAGTCTCGAGTTAAGAACAACTATACAGACATCGCTTCACCATTGTGTGTGTGGGCGTAGGGGTAAGAGACGTGGTGAGTCTCGTGTTAAGAACAACTATACAGACATCGCTTCGCCATTGTGTGTGGGGGGCGTAGGGGTAAGAAACGTGGTGAACCTCGAGTTAAGAACAACTATACAGACATCGCTTCGCCATTGTGTGTGTGGGCGTAGGAGTAAGAGGCATGGTGAGTCTCGAGTTAAGAACAACTATACAGACATCGCTTCGCCATTGTGTGTGCGGGGCGTAGGGGTAAGAGGCATGGTGAGTCTCGAGTTAAGAACAACTATACAGACATCGCTTCACCATTGTGTGTGGGGCGTAGGGGTAAGAGGCGTGGAAGCCTCGAGTTAAGAACAACTATACAGACATCGCTTCACCATTGTGTGTGTGAAGCGTAAGGGGTAAGAAACGTGGAAGCCTCGAGTTAAGAACAATGACTAGAAGAACATCGCTACATCAGAATGAGAATATTTTATTTATACTGCAGGAGGAATCCGATAATCTATAAAGCTCTTTTTTTCACAGATTGTCCAGTAGGGGCACATGAGGTCCGAACGTTACAACAACACACAGTTACAAAAACACGCTAGGAGTGTAAGGTAAAAGAACGGTAAACAAGTCACCCAACACACATACAAATGCAACACTACACCATCCCCATCATACCAGGAATAAGCCCCCACTGAGCTATTCAGAAGAGAGCTGGCCATTCTCTTTCTCTCCCCCCTCTTCCGTTCCGATCATAGATGGACTCGTCCGTCTGAACAACCGCCAGTTGCTGTCCGTGGTGCTGACGTTAAGAATAAGTATAACCCGTAAAAACAAAGTTTTTCACTATAAATCCTTTATATGCGTGGCATCGGGGCGGCTAGAGTCCTCTCGTCCTCTGGCTTGAGATGGCTGCCACCTATGGGTCAGATGATTGTCTGGCAGCATTGAACAATTGGTAATTAAATATTTAGTTATTTTTCCCTAAACAGTGTAAAATTTTGGAAAATGCATTGTCACGCACAACGAGTCTGTGTGCAAAATGTCAGCTCGATTGGATCACGGGAAGTGGGTTAAAAAACGACCGAAAGATTTGCACAGTCCTAAGCAAGCAAGCGAACTTAATATAAAGGATTTAGAAATGCCACTTTTTAAAACATTTCTTGCTGTGGTTTTCACACCTGATGACGATTGCTTGTGTTGCAATCGAAACGTCGTGAGAATTTTATTAGTTTAACACGTAGCAGGCTTTCGCGACCAATATTATTCACAATCAACGATTTTTGGGTTAGATCGCGTTATTTATAAATGTGTCGTAACCCTCCACCACCCGACACGGCCAATCAGTAAAAGTGTTACGTTGACAAAAGACAAATAGTTCACTGCTTTAGCCCACTGATGTGTTGAAACGTGAAACCACAACATTTACAATTTTGAGTAGTACGACGTTTCGCTGGTAATTGCATCCAGCATCATCGGGCAATTCGCCAGAATGGTGAATTTTATTGGTTTATTATTTTATTATTTCCCTTCTACGTGACATTACCGAAAGAACCAAGAATACGAATCCCTGCAGTCACGAAAGCTTCAAATCGAAATCATAACATCTCAACAAAGTGGCCTTATAATTTGGGCATTCATATCACCAGCCAAAATAAATCCCAATTAATTTTAACGCATGTTTAAAAATGTGGATGTGAAAACAATCCACGCGACCACGGGGGGAGAGAGAGACATCCCAAAGTCCAAAGATGATTATGAAGCAAAACGTAAATACCAACATTAGCTGGGCCCTATCACCCCTCCACGGAGATAGGTGAAGTGTATTAAAACAAAATTTCAAGTGAACCACTGGCAAATGAAATGAAACTGTTATAAGAGTTTTTAAACAAATCGATTGCAAAATCAGAATTAGTCTCAACGGATAATAAAAAGACAAAGACCCACCCCGTATAACCTGCAACAGACTGCCGGGGCAAGTGCTGTTAGCGAGTAGCAACACCTATGAAAGCCGGAACGAACAGCCAAAGACAAAGATCCCCCGTATAGCCTGCAACAGACTGTCGGGGCAAGTGCTGTTAGCGAGTAGCAGCAGCACCTATGAAGGTCGGAACGGCGCACGAGGGGGTGGGTGGCCAGCACCACGCCCGACCGCCTTTGTCTCCCCAGTGGCGATGTTTACTACACACCGCACCAGGTACTCATTTTAGAAAATGTTCCCTGGGGCAACCGCAATGAGTTACACACACCACTGGGGGGAGGACGGAGGGTGGAATATTAGGCATGAAGAGCCGACCCTAAGACGCGAACTACTGGGCACGGGAAGAAGGATGAGGGGAGCAAGTCACCCTGAGCAAGTCACCCTGAGCAAGTCACCCTGAGCAAGTCACCCTGAGCAAGGCACCCTGAGCAAGTCACCCTGAGCAAGGGACCCTGAGCAAGTCACCCTGAGCAAGGCACCCTGATCAAGTCACCCTGAGCAAGTCACCCTGAGCAAGTCACCCTGAGCAAGGCACCCTGAGCAAGTCACCCTGAGCAAGTCACCCTGAGCAAGTCACCCTGAGCAAGTCACCCTGAGCAAGTCACCCTGAGCAAGGCATGTGTGGGTATATATTGCGGTGCGCGGTAATATATGGTGCGGTGGAGCTTTGGACGATGACTTCCTCTTGCCTCTTGGACCTCAGGGTGGCTAGGAGAGCAGCAGCAGAGGCAGCAGCAGCCCCACAGCCACAGTCACCGCTTCACTTTTGCTGACCAGGCAGTGGGATGGCAGCGAATTCGCCTCTGCGGTGTGGGAAAGATAGGCACATACGCGCGCACACACACACACACGGACACACATTATTAGGCGCTTAAATTTCGATTTAAAGCTTTCGTGGCTGCAGGGATTCATCTTCTTGGTTCTTTCGGTAAAGTCACGTAGAAGGGAAATAATAAAATAATAAAAAAATTCTCACGACGCTTCGGCCACAACGCAAGCAGCCGTCCTCAGGTGAAGAATGAAACACCACCAAGCTTGGAGCGTATATTTAAGCTGGGTTGGAGGGAGGGGGGAGGTGGGAAGAAGAGCGCCTTGACAAAGAGATAATTATTTTATCATGTTTTATTTGTATTATTTTATTACTTCCCTTCTACGTGACTTTACCGAAAGAACCAAGAAAATTATTAGTCGCCACGACTCTGTGGCGGGCTCCAGGTTCAGCAGCAGCTAGCGGCGTCTCCTGATCTTTCTTCAGCACTGGTGCAGCCACAGAAGGAACTTTAAGACTGCGTGGTCGAAAAAATGTGTCAGTGGTAAGAGCCAGAGGACTTCCCTGTCGCACCCGAAGGTGAACAAGGGATCACTGATCCCTGGCCATGCAGGTTTAATTGGGTCTGCCCGCCAACATGAAGGTCCTTCATAATACAGTTTTGTTTGGGTTAGATCGCGTAAATATATAAATGCGTCATTAAACCCGCCACCACCCGACAACAGCAAGTTATTAAGGTTTGTCACGTAAACAGAACGTGCAAAATCGTTACCAGTGTAGCGACTAACTCGGAGACGATAAGACTTGGAGGCACTTCTTTATCAACGAGCACCATCGGGATCAACACACTTAATGTTTAGTCCGTCTGTAATTGGCGACGCTACTCAGCCAGGACTTAAATTTCGATTTAAAGCTTTCGTGACTGCAGGGATTCATCTTCTTGGTTCTTTCGGTAAAGTCGCGTAGATAGGGAAATAATAAAATAATAAAAATAAAACATAATAAAATAATTCTCACGACGTTTCGGCCACAATGCAAGCAGCCATCCTCAGGTGAAGAACAGGTCTGTCTGAAAGACATTCAGACGCTGTCTTTTCGACAGACCTGTTCTTCACCTGAGGACGGCTGCTTGCGTTGTGGCCGAAACGTCGTGAGAATTATTTTATTATGTTTTATTTTTATTATTTTACTCAGCCAGGACAGTTGGTCGGCTGTCTGACCAGCGGCGCCCCGAGATGGTAGAGACGGAGACGACGACGAGAAGAATGGTAAAGACGACGAGAAGAACGGTGAAGACAATGAGAAAAATGGCGACGATGGACTTCCAACAACAGCCCCGAGGTCCACCACAGGGGCCCCTCTTATACCGTCAGCGAGGCCTGGCTCCGCCCCCGGCCACGCCCCCTTTCTAGAACCTACCAGCGAGTTCCTGGCAGAGGTCGCAATCGGGTACCCCCCGATACCCGTACCCTAACCGATACCCGGCTACCCGTACCCGGCTGGGTACGAGTAGCCGTTTGCGACCCTGGTGCAGCCGGGTACGGGTAGCCGCACGTGACTCACCTCAACCAATGAGTGAGAAGGCCGTGAGTCACTGGTGAGTCACCGTTTGTCACTCATTTCCCAACGTCTTGTCTCTTCTCACAATTCAAGTTCCTAGAATCAACCCACCTGCGCCTGCAACATGGCTTCATCCCAGAGGTCGCAATCGGGTACCCGATACCCGTACCCTACCCGTACCCGGCCGGGTATGGGTAGCCAGGTATTGGGTAGCGTACGGGTACGGGTACCCGTTTGCGACCCTGGTGCGGCTGGGTACGGGTACGGAATCAAAACCCGTTTGCGACCTCTGGTTCCTGGAGTGCCCCTTCTGTGACCTTTCCCCGAGATCCCCCTCTCGTGTATATCACGTGGCCTGCTGACGTCAGGACTGCCGTACGCCGCAGATCCCCTTTTCTGCCAGCAGGCAGCGCTATGCCACTACACTAGTACAGCAACACCAGTTGTGTGTTGGACCGGACACATGCACATGCACACAAAGATAGTCCCCCTTTTCCTCAAATTCAGTTCTGACAGATGGTTGGGTCAACACGACAGAATCTTGAGTGACGTTGACTTAGAGGAAGATCAGCGTTCAAGATCAGATGCCAGTTGGCAACCATTTATTTAGATCCAAATCGTTAATTGGTAAAAACCTGGCTCCGGGAGACTGGGGTGTCACAATGAGTGTTTAGTTTGAAAAGTAATTTTTCAGGATGAGAGTCTTCTTTGAGACTCTGGGAGACCGTCCATGGGGACTTTGCTCCAAAAAAAACAGGTTGCAAAGCTCACGAAACATGCATACACACACACGTGCACACACAGTTGTGCTCATGAAATGCACGCAAATCACGCGAGTGGCTTCGGATTTGAGTCTGGTTTAGCAGCAACATGACAAGGTAGGGAAGTCAAAAGTAGACAAAAAGAGTGGATTGTTGATTTCGGAGTGTGATATTATTCCATGTAGTCCTCTACCACATCAAACTTCGCTTCCCCAACCGGAACCTGTGATCCGAGCTATAGGAATCCCCCGTTTCTAAGCTACCTTCATCAACTTTGTCTGAGAGAAGCCTATCTTCAGACTCCTAGTGTCTAGACACGCGACAAATAAATATACAAAAGCAAACAGAACTACCAAAAACCCTCATTCGGAAGATAATTCTAAAACCTTCACACAAAAAATGGCGGCCATTAAAAAAAATGGCGGCCATTCAAAAAAATGGCGGCCATAAAAAATGGCGGCCATTTAAAAAATGGCGACCTGCAGTGCTCTTACTGGCCAGAGTGAAAACTGCAATCGACGCGTCTCCACGGCACGGCACCGCCATGAAATTGTAGCTCCCCAGGTCCCAGAGTTGCATCGACTTGATTTTCAGCGACCCGTTGGCATAGGCTGTCGTCCGTCCCGCGTAGCCGGACCCTTGAAGGAACTCCTGCGGCTCCTCTGCACCGCCCGGCAGGATCCACCCGGCCACGGCCTTTCCGCCGAACGTCCACTGGACGGAGGCCTTGCCGAGGAACGCGTAGTCCACGGAGAGCAACAGGTCGGCGCCTTGCGTGAAAGTATAGGTGTTTACAGCGGGGACGCTCAGGGTTGCCTTGCTGCCGTTGGCTTTGCCTGTGGAAAAGTGGGATATTGCTATCAGTCACTGCCATTTTAGTGAATTCCTCTCGTTATTGTTTTGTTCGGTTTGGCTGTTAAGTTGTTGGTCGTTACGGACGTGACTTTGAGGTGTGGAGAAAGGGAATTGTAGACGCATGTACGCGTATAAATTTCGATTTAAAGCTTTCGTGACTGCAGGGATTCATCTTCTTGGTTCTTTCGGTAAAGTCACGTAGATGGGAAACAATAAAATAAAAAGGCATAATAAAATAAGTTTTTATTATGTTTTATTTTTATTATTTTATTATTTCCTTTCTACGTGACTTTACCGAAAGAACCAAGAAGATATATGCGTATGTTCAACTTCTTTCGCACCATTCGTAGCCAACCCGTGCTCATCGGAGGTGCCGGGAAACGTGGTGTCGAGGGGAAGTCTAGATACGAAGGGGATTTCTACGGAATCGATCTTTCACTAATGGTGCACGTTGTCTCTCGAATTACCGTTTGTTACGCGATTGCTAATAACTTGTCGTTTCATTGGCTAAAAATGTGCCAAGTTCGATTGTGAACTTTATTTTATTCTTTACCGATGACAATACTATTGTATAAGAAGTGAGCTGTTTTCAGGTTTCACATTCTTCTCGTTTCGTATGGTTTGGTTGATGTTAAGGTCTCGGCTGTTCGGATGGGAACTTGTGATGTGAAGGGAATATTAGATGTGCATAAGGGAATTTCTTCAGAGGCGGCATACAATTGACTTGCTAGCTTTGGCAAGTATCTGTGGTCTTGCTGACTATTATTAACACTGATTTGCGCTAGGCCGCCTCCACCATCTACTTTCAGGGACCCTAAGCTATTGCATTAGCTTGCTTACGGCCTAAGCGTGGCCACCACTTAAAGCAATGTCACAGGGGCTCTCACCGCTACTCACATTCGAGCTCCAGCAGAACGGACGCGCTCATTCCATTGCTCACGGGATTCTCAGCATAGCAGGAGTAATTTCCACGATCTCCATATGTAACGTTGTTGATGCTGCGGTTCACGTTGGTCGAACTTCCGTTGGGCTGGAGCGTGGCGATGGCAGCATCGTACTTGTAGAAGGTGAACGAGAGCCCGGTGTTACTGGTCACGTTTGCTGCCGAGCACTGCAAGACTGCGCTGCCTCCCAGCGTCGGCTGCGAGGGTGCTATGTGCAGTATCGTGTCCGTGATGACCTCTATGTGGAATTTGCGTTGGTGGGGGGAGGGGGGAGGAAGATCAGTGGATAAGTCGTGGGCCAACACAAACCTGCCCTGCGAAAGCAATGCTCGTGTTGACGTTCTTACAGCCCCTTAACTCCTTCCGCCGGGACTTACTACCGGAGCCCTGTTTCAAACTACCTCCATTAACTTGGTTGCGAGGAAAGCTTAACCGTAGAAAGAGGAGCTGAGTGTCCAGCCACAGTGCCTAAGGCTCCCAGCATCTGCACGGCTGATGCCAAAGTCCGAGTGAACAAACCTGCATCATCTGCAGACCCTTAGTCCCGCACATTACATCTCACCCTTATTGATAATCTTGATTAACAAGTTTAACCGAAGACCCCCACCACTTCCTACACAAGCTCAATCTGGTTAGGAGGGGGATGGGTGGGGGCCTAAGTAGGAATCAGTGGGGCCTAGACAGGAAGTTGTTGTATATATGCCTTTTACAAAAAATTATATTAAGTGTCATATTGTCCTTTTAGACAGACAGGGTGCTTACATTTTTTAAAACACTTATATAGGACTATCGTTTTTAATGGGAAAAGAATGGATACACTGTAACATGATGACACTTGTTCGCCATCATTGTAAACACGTGCCTGGAATCCTCTCCAGATGGTTTCCAGAGCCCGAAAACACATTTATTGTGGTATTGTTGCAAATTCTCGGAAGTGTTAACATTTTATTGAAGCACCTTGTATATGTGTAGTCATTGCATTCCGATGGTTGAGGAAAACCAGAAAGGGGCACACTAAGTAGCATTCGAACGAGAAGTTGTAAAACAAGTTTGATGGCTCGGGTAAATAACCAGTGACACGGAACTGTAAAAAAAAATCCTCCCTTGAACTAACAAGGCGTGACCAGGAAGGACATCACTGCTGCTGTTTTAACTGTGCAGTGGGTACAGATGGAGACACGTCTTCTCTGGAGGCAGCACGTTTATTTATAACAATAATAACAACGGTAACACAAGGTCCCTGACACAAGGGGGTAACGGCCGACTTCACCCGATACCCCGGGGAGACATAGCCTCTGGGCTAGCGTGCCCTAATCACTGGGACCACTTTCTATACTCTTTGGTTCTTTCGATAAAGTGACGTATAAAGATAAAATAATAAATTAAATACTAGCATACGACGTTTCGATTGCAATACAAGCAATCATCATCAGGTATAAATGAAATAGAAACACAAATCTAGTATAAATTTCGATTTAAAGCTTTCGTGACTGCAGGGATTCATCTTCTTGGTTCTTTCGGTAAAGTCACATAGAAGGGAAATAATAAAAGAAAAGAAAAAAAACATAATAAAATACAATTCTCATGATGTTTCAGCCACAACGCAAGCAGCCGTCCTCAGGTGAAAAACAGATCTGTCGGGAAGACAAATAATAAATAACAGCGTTTGAATTCAGAAGACGCTGTCTTCTGAATTCAGACGCTGTTATTTATTATTTTATTATTTCCCTTCTACGTGACTTTACCGAAAGAACCAAGAAGACAAATCTAGTATACTTAGAAATGTAATGTAATACAACAGAGAGTCGGATAACATAACAGTCAACACGTTCTCTCTATCTCACAGCCCTCCTGCTGGGGGGGACTTCGGGGAGGCTAGCCTGACGTGACCCAGCCAAGAACCTCAGGTCCGGACCACTGGCCAACTCGGTCCTGTCCCTGACAAGGACTTCTGGTCGTGTGTTTCCCAGGGTCCTATTCTGGCTGGTCTTCGGGTCTTCTGCTTGACGACGACTGGCAAACCCGTTCAGAGGTCCGGCTTATATAGGGTTCCCACGGTCACTCGGCCCCTGGCCACGCCTACTCTCTAGAAACTTCTGGAGGGACCTGGAATATTGCGTAATCCCCCAGCCCCCACTCGGGGCCTGGGGTGTGTACCAGAGGTCACAACCGGGTACCCGATACCCGTACCCTACCCGATACCCGGCTACCCGTACCTGGCTGGGTACGGGTACGGGTAGCCGTTTGCGACCCTGGTGCGGCCGGGTACGGGTACGGGTAGGCCGTGAGTCACTGGTGAGTAACCGTTTGTCACTCATTTCGGGTAGGGTACGGGTAGGGAACGGGTACCCGTACCCGGCCGGGTACGGGTACCCGTTTGCGACCCTGGTGCGGCCGGGTACGGGTACGGGTAAGGAATCAAAACCCATTTGCGACCTCTGGTGTGTACCTCCGGTTACCAACCACCCTCTGGGTTTCCTGGCCTAACGGCGTTGCTTAGTACAGGCCGCACTCGCTGTTGGCCCCTGTTGACCCATGGCTGGCGCTACACCAGGTCAGTAGTGGTGATGGCGTATTACGTGGACAATACCCACGACAACTGTGCCCAATGCAAGAAATCCACACTCACAATCTGAGCGGTTTTAATTTACGGCAAGTCTTGGCATTTGGAGGGTCAAAATGTTCAGAATGACAACCGCCGCATATGAATATTCTTAGACATCATGGTATGAAAAACAGGAAGAGTGCGGGTCCTGAAGAGGGCAGGGGTTTGAATGGGAAGGTGCGGGGTCTGAAGAGGAAAGGGGTGGGGCTTCAACAGAAAGGGGTGGGGCTTCAACAAAAAGGGGTGGGGCTTCAACAGAAAGGGGTGGGGCTTCAACATAAAGGGGTGGGACTTCAACAGAAGAGGGCGGGGCTTGACGAGAAAGAGGGCGGGGCTTGAATATTAAGGTGGGGGCCGGAAGAGGAAACTCAAAAAAGCAACCTCCAAATGGAAACTCCCGGAACCTCAAAAGATCACGGCGATGAAAGAAAAAAAACATTCGCATCTAGAAGAGGAGTGTTTCAACCGTGAGCTTTCCCGTCGGTGTGTAAGGTGAGGATATATCAGGCTCAATGACGTATCACAACTCGTCATGATGATTGGCTCTGCCGGTCCTGGTTTACAGCCAATGGGGAGAAGCCTAGGGGCGTGGCCCTGACGTAATGGAAAGGTGACAGCTGGAAGTAGGGGATTGGTTCTGCTGGCTTTGGCCACAGCCAATGGGGAGAGGAGTCAAGGGCGTGGTCCCGGCAGCTTACGAGGTGGCCTAGAATATTCCATGGAGGCTAACCAGGATTGGGGGAAATGTACCACGTGACCCGGGTATTAAATAGGGGTGGAGACGAACGACACGTGGTCAGAACGGGAACGAACGGAGGAAGGGGGCCACGCGGGAGCGGGGCTCCGGGTTGCCACGTGGCAGTGCGTCTCTCTCTCTGTCTGTCCCTCTCATGCTGCCTGTCAGCAGCGTGAAGGAAAAGCTGTATACAAGTTGAATAAAAGACGGATTCCAGAAGTCGTCTCAACGAGCTTTATTACAGATGTAAGGAAAAACGTTGCTTACCGTATACGTCCAGCTTGACGCTGGCTCTGCCATCCGGCTGTTTGTTGTCCACCAAGACGACCCCATAAGAGCCGCTGTCACTCAAGGCGACGTTTTTGAGGAGCAGGGAGCCGTTGGAGTGCAGCGTGACACGGTTACGGTAGAAATTGTGAATCTGCAGCACAGAACGCGCAAGCAATTTGGGAGAGCCCACGAGCAGCTGCTGGAATTTCATTTTACGATTTGTTTCCGCAGGAAAGCCTCAAAACCACTGTTGTGAAGATATGGAAACTACTGTACTGTAGAGCAATCACGTGGATTGGGGATAAACGGGAGCAAAATGTTTTTTCAGTTTCAGCAAAATTAAAAATCAGCACGTGACTTGTCACGCACATTTTCAAGAACAGTGGCAGGTCTACGATCACACGTTATGCGCGGTAGAAGTAAAATAAAAAAAACAATCAAAAGTTAAAACAAAAATCGAAGACTCACCGAGCCAGCGCTCGTGTTGCTCGATTTCCATTGAGCGATGCGAGACGTAAATGTCCACGTGATTTGCGGGTCGTCATCGTTCTCCACGTAGTTGATGCTAAAGAGGACGTTACTGCCAACCACCCCGGTCACGTTCGAGGTCACCGGAATGACGTTGATCGCTCCCACAAGCCCTGGGGGAGGAAGCGACGAGGAAAGAAAAAGCACGCGAGATATGCACTCTCCTGCCTCTCCCCTCTCATCTCACTCCACTCCCCTTCACGCACTCTCCTACCTCTTCCCTATCATCTCACTCTACTCCCCTCCACGCACTCTCCTATCTCTCACCTCTCATCTCACTCTACTCCCCTCCACGCACTCTCCTGCCTCTCCCCTCTCATCTCACTCCACTCCCCTTCACGCACTCTCCTGCCTCTTCCCTCTCATCTCACTCCACTCCCCTCCACGCACTCTCCTGCCTCTCCCCTCTCATCTCACTCTACTCCCCTCCACGCACTCTCCTACCTCTCCCCTCTCATCTCACTCCACTCCCCTCCACGCTCTCTCCTACCTCTCCCATCTAATCTCATTCCACTCCCCTCCATGCACTCTCCTACCTCCCATCTCTCATCTCACTCTACTCCCCTCCACGCACTCTCCTACCTCTCCCCTATCATCTCACTCCACTCCCCTCCACGCACTCTCCTACCTCTCCCCTCTCATCTCACTCTACTCCCCTCCAAGCACTCTCCTACCTCTCCCCTCTCATTTCACTCCACTCCCCTCCATGCACTCTCCTACCTCTCATCTCACTCTACTCCCCTCCACTCACTCTCCTACCTCTTCCCTCTCATCTCACTCTACTTCCCTCCACGCAATGTCAAACACCTGCAATGATGGAAATTCTGTCTTTCAACTTGGAACTGTCAGCCGAGACCAGCATATGTTGGGATTGCACACTGTCCGAGGTAAGGCCCTACTGAGCTGTGGTAACTCAACAAATAATAGCTCAATTTGGCGGCTTATCATCACCATCATCATCGCGTGGAAATGTGTCGCCGCCAAATACTCTAAAACACGTGGTAGAGGTAGTCAACATCCCCTCGCCACCGCGCTGTACAAAGTTGGCGAGCCAGCCGTCAGCTGACCGGATCACCTCCGCGGTCGGCCACGATGTTAAAAGCAAACGTTTTCGGGGGGGGGGAGGGGGGGGAGGCACGGATTGTATTGTGCCGCTTAAATTGTCTAGAACTCGCCGCCCTCCCAGCCACGTCGTGCGCGCAGCACGACCCCGTCGCTTACCGTAAACGTCGAGCCGGATGACCGCCACTCCGTCCGCCGAGACGAAGTCCAAGATGCGGACGGTGTAAGAGCCGGCGTCGGAGAGCGACACGCTCTTGAGGAGCAGAGAGCCGTTGGAGTACGGCTCAACGCGTCCGTTGTAGGCGGAGTGAGTCTGCGGCAGCCGGGACAACGCAAATGAAGGGGCGGGGGGGGGTTACGGGGGGCAACCACGGAGGGATGACCCCAGAGATGACCCACTGACCCCAAAGATGACCCACTGACCCCAGAGACAGACACCTCGGAGCCTCCGCTCAGTTAGCCCAGCTACTACTAATGTAGTAGCTACTACATATTGTGTAGCTACACATGTAGTAGCTACACATGTAGTAGTTACACATACTACACATGTAGTAGTAGCTACGGGCCCCGCACTTATCAAGGGAACCCACGCTAAACGCTTTCAAGCTATAAATTCCGATTCAGTGATTCTGCACTTGCTCTATTACTATAGTACTATACCGCCTTCGACTTTTACGAACGACCGGGTGTTAAGGTTCGCGATTTGTATTATCTGGCCGTAAAGCAAAACAAAACAATTACTTTGCTGTGCAAGTTAAACATTTATGTGTTTTAATAGTTAAGTTTATTTTTAGGGCACATTTAAAACAGCAAACGCTACAGACCCCGCACTTAGCTCAAAGGTCGCAAACGGGTTTTGATTCCTTACCCGTACCCGGCCGCACCAGGGTCACAAATGGGTACCCGTACCCGGCCGTACCCGTACCCTACCCGTACGGGTATCGGGTACCTGATTGCGGCCTCTGGGATGAAGCCACGTTGCAGGCGCGGGTGGGTTGATTCTAGGAACTTGAATTGTGAGAAGAGACAAGACGTTGGGAAATGAGTGACGAACGGTGACTCACCAGTGACTCACGGCCTACCCGTACCCGGCCGCACCAGGGTCGCAAACGGGTACCCGTACCCTACCCGTACCCGGCCGGGTACGGGTAGGGTACGGGTATCGGGTACCTGATTGCGACCTCTGGGATGAAGCCATGTTGCAGGCGCGGGTGGGTTGATTCTAGGAACTTTAATTGTGAGAAGAGACAAGACGTTGGGAAATGAGTGACAAACGGTGACTCACCAGTGACTCACGGCCTACCCGTACCCGTACCCGGCCGCACCAGGGTCACAAACGGGTACCCGTACCCTACCCGTACCCGGCCCGGCCGGGTACGGGTAGGGTACGGGTATCGGGTACCTGATTGCGACCTCTGGGATGAAGCCATGTTGCAGGCGCGGGTGGGTTGATTCTAGGAACTTGAATTGTGAGAAGAGACAAGACGTTGGGAAATGAGTGACGAACGGTGACTCACCAGTGACTCACGGCCTACCCGTACCCGTACCCGGCCGCACCAGGGTCGCAAACGGGTACCCGTATCCGGCCGGGTACGGGTAGCCGGGTATCGGGTACCCGGTTGCGACCTCTGACTTAGCTTCATCCGGCACTGAACTGCACGCAGAGAGGTTGCCGATTTCATCTTTCGCGTGCACCGTTTTGCGAGGCGTCCTCGCCACGTCGGTAAAAACCCCCAAAATTATATAAACAACCAACGAGTGTGATTCGTAAACTCACGACGTTATTGCTCAAGTTGCCGGATTTCCATTGAGCGATGTTGTTTTTGAACGTCCACGTGATCTGTGGGTCGGTCACATTCTCGGAGTAACTGACGTTGAAGAGAACGTCCCTGTTCACGGTCTGGATCGGATTGAAGGGCGGCTGAATGACCACGACTCCTGCCACGGGTCCTGCAAAGGACAAGAGAAGCAGCCCTCACTCCACTCCACTCACTCACTCCACTCCCCTCAGTCACTCATTCACTCACTCCACCCTCTCATTTCACTCCACTCCACTCACTCACTCCACTCACTCCACTCCACTCAGTCACTCCACTCACTCACTCCACTCACTCCACTCCACTCGCTCACTCCACTCACTCACTCACTCCACTCACTCACTCCACTCACTCCACTCCACTCAGTCACTCCACTCACTCACTCCACTCAGTCACTCCACTCACTCACTCCACTCACTCCACTCCACTCGCTCACTCCACTCACTCACTCCACTCACTCACTCCACTCACTCCACTCCACTCGCTCACTCCACTCACTCACTCCACTCACTCACTCCACTCACTCCACTCCACTCACTCACTCCACTCACTCCACTCCACTCAGTCACTCCACTCACTCACTCCACTCACTCCACTCCACTCGCTCACTCCACTCACTCACTCCACTCACTCACTCCACTCACTCCACTCCACTCGCTCACTCCACTCCACTCAGTCACTCGCTCTCCTGCCTCTCATCTCACTCCCCTCTACTCACTCACTCACTCCCCTCTCATCTCACTCCACTCTACTCGCTCACTCCACTCCCCTCCACTCAGTCACTCACTCCACTCACTCACTCCACTCACTCTCCTGCCTCTCCTCTCTCATCTCAGTCCACTCCCCTCCACGCACTCTCCTGCCTCTCCCCTCTCATCTCACTCCACTCCCCTCTACGCTCTCTCCTGCCTCTCCCCTCTCATCTCACTCCACTGCCCTGCACGCACTCTCATGCCTCTCCCCTCTCATCTCACTCCACTCCACGCACTCTCCTGCCTCTCCCCTCTCATCTCACTCCACTCCCCTCCACGCACTCTCCTGCCTCTCCCCTCTCATCTCACTCCACTCCCCTCCACGCACTCTCCTACCTCTCCCCTCTCATCTCACTCTACTCCCCTCCACGCACTCTCCTACCTCTCCCCTCTCATCTCACTCCACTCCCCTCCACGCACTCTCCTACCTCTCCCCTCTCATCTCACTCCACTCCCCTCCACGCTCTCTCCTATCTCTCATCTCACTCCACTCCCCTCTCATCTCACTCCACTCCCCTCCACGCACTCTCCTGCCTCTCCCCTCTCATCTCACTCCACTCCCCTCCACGCTCTCTCCTACCTCTCCCCTCTCATCTCACTCTACTCCCCTCCACGCACTCTCCTGCCTCTCCCCTCTAATCTCACTCCACTCTCCTCCACGCACTCTCCTACCTCTACCCTCTCATCTCACTCCACTCCCCTCCACGCACTCTCCTACCTCTCCCCTCTCATCTCACTCTACTCCCCACCACACACTTTCCTGCCTCTCATCTCACTCTACTCCCTTCCACACTCTCCTGCCTCTCCCCTCTCATCTCACTCCACTGCCCTGCACGCACTCTCCTGCCTCTCCCCTCTCATCTCACTCCACTCCCCTCTACGCACTCTCCTGCCTCTCCCCTCTCATCTCACTCCACTCCCCTCCACGCTCTCTCCTGCCTCTCCTCTCTCATCTCACTCCACTCCCCTCCACGCACTCTCCTGCCTCTCCCCTCTCATCTCACTCCACTCCCCTCCACGCACTCTCCTGCCTCTCCCCTCTCATCTCACTCCACTCCCCTCCACGCACTCTCCTGCCTCTCCCCTCTCATCTCACTCCACTCCCCTCCACGCACTCTCCTGCCTCTCCCCTCTCACCTAACTCCACTCCCCTCCATGCACTCTCCTGCCTCTCCCCTCTCATCTCACTCCACTCCCCTCCACTCAGTCACTCACTCCACTCACTCACTCCACTCACTCTCCTGCCTCTCCCATCTCATCTCAGTCCACTCCCATCCACGCACTCTCCTGCCTCTCCCCTCTCATCTCACTCCACTCCCCTCCACACTCTCCTGCCTCTCCCCTCTCATCTCAGTCCACTCCCATCCACGCACTCTCCTGCCTCTCCCCTCTCATCTCACTCCACTCCCCTCCACACTCTCCTGCCTCTCCCCTCTCATCTCACTCCACTCCACGCACTCTCCTGCCTCTCCCCTCTCATCTCACTCCACTGCCCTGCACGCACTCTCCTGCCTCTCCCCTCTCATCTCACTCCACTCCCCTCCACGCTCTCTCCGGCCTCTCCCCTCTCATCTTACTCCACACCCCTCCACGCACTCTCCTGCCTCTCCCCTCTCATCTCACTCCACTCCACGCACTCTCCTGCCTCTCCCCTCTCATCTCACTCCACTCCCCTCCACGCTCTCTCCGGCCTCTCCCCTCTCATCTTACTCCACACCCCTCCACGCTCTCTCCTGCCTCTCCCCTCTCATCTCACTCCACTGTCCTGCACGCACTCTCCTGCCTCTCCCCTCTCATCTCACTCCACTCCCCTCCACGCACTCTCCTGCCTCTCCCCTCTCATCTCACTCCACTGTCCTGCACGCACTCTCCTGCCTCTCCCCTCTCATCTCACTCCACTCCCCTCTACGCACTCTCCTGCCTCTCATCTCTCATCTCACTCCACTCCCCTCTACGCACTCTCCTGCCTCTCCCCTCTCATCTCACTCCCCTCCACGCTCTCTCCTGCCTCTCCCCTCTCATCTCACTCCACTCCACGCTCTCTCCTACCTCTCCCCTCTAATCTCACTCCACTCTCCTCCACGCACTCTCCTACCTCTCCCCTCTCATCTCACTCTACTCCCCACCACACACTTTCCTGCCTCTCATCTCACTCTACTCCCCTCCACACTCTCCTGCCTCTCCCCTCTCATCTCACTCCACTGCCCTGCACGCACTCTCCTGCCTCTCCCCTCTCATCTCACTCCACTCCCCTCCACGCTCTCTCCTGCCTCTCCCCTCTCATCTCACTCTACTCCCCTCCACACACTCTCCTACCTCTCCCCTCTCATCTCACTCCACTCCCCTCCACGCACTCTCCTACCTCTCCCCTCTCATCTCACTCTACTCCCCTCCACACACTCTCCTACCTCTCCCCTCTCATCTCACTCCACTCCCCTCCATGCACTCTCCTGCCTCTCCCCTCTCATCTCACTCCACTCCCCTCCACGCACTCTCCTGCCTCTCCCCTCTCACCTCACTCCACTCCCCTCCATGCACTCTCCTGCCTCTCCCCTCTCATCTCACTCCACTCCCCTCCACACACTCTCCTACCTCTCCCCTCTCATCTCACTCCACTCCCCTCCACGCACTCTCCTGCCTCTCCCCTCTCATCTCACTCCACTCCCTCCATGCACTCTCCTGCCTCTCCCCCTCTCATCTCACTCCACTCCCCTCCATGCACTCTCCTGCCTCTCCCCTCTCATCTCACTCTACTCCCCTCCACGCACTCTCCTGCCTCTCCCCTCTCATCTCACTCCACTCCCCTCCACGCACTCTCCTGCCTCTCCCCTCTCATCTCACTCCACTCCCCTCCATGCACTCTCCTGCCTCTCCCCTCTCATCTCACTCCACTCCCCTCCACGCACTCTCCTGCCTCTCCCCTCTCATCTCACTCCACTCCCCTCCATGCACTCTCCTGCCTCTCCCCTCTCATCTCACTCCCCTCCCCTCCACGCACTCTCCTGCCACTCCCCTCCACGCACTCTCCCACCTCTCCCCTCTCATCTCACTCCACTCCCCTCCACGCACTCTCCTGCCTCTCCCCTCTCATCTCACTCCACTCCCCTCCACGCACTCTCCTGCCTCTACACTCCCATCCACCCACTCTCCCCACCCAGCAGAGTAAAACCCGTCGCCTCTACTGGAGAGATCTTGACCTTAGGTCAGACGTTCCCTTATCCGGGGAAACTGTGCTGTAGTTCGGCATAAAACATTTCCCATAAGTTAAATTCGCCACACACCTGTCTAGCCTTGACCTCCCCTCTGCCTGCCTCACCTGTACCCGCGTCTCACCGCGTCTCGCCTGTCCCCTCTATCACTCACCTGCGAGTGTAGCCCAGACCAAAGGTATCACGAACCAGGTGTGCTCCATGGATCCAAGATGAGCTCACCTGTGCGTGCAGGTTGTGTACGTGCGCGTGTGTGTGTGTACCTGTGCGTGCAGGTTGTGTACGTGCGCGTGTGTGTGTGTACCTGTGCGTGTGTGCACCTGTGTGTGTGTACTTGTGCGTGTGTGTGTGTACCTGTGCGTGTATGTGTGTACCTGTGCGTGTGTGCACCTGTGTGTGTGTGTACCTGTGCGTGTGTGTGTGTACCTGTGCGTGTGTGTGTACCTGTGCGTGTGTGTATGTACCTGTTCGGGTGTGTGTCTACCTGTGCGTGTGTGTGTAGCTGTGTGTGTGTGCCTGTGTGTTTGTACCTGTGTGTGTATGCACCTGTGCGTGTGTATGTACCTGTGTATGTGTGTATGTACCTGTGTGTGTGTGTACCTGTGTGTGTGTATGTGTCTACCTGTGTGTGTGTATGTGTCTATGTACCTGCGTGTGTGTGTGTACCTGTGCGTGTGTGTATGTACCTGTGTGTGTGTGTACCTGTGTTTGTGTGCCTGTGCGTGTGTGTACCTGTGCGTGTGTGTGTGTGTACCTGTGCGTGTGTGTACCTGTGCGTGTGTGTGTGTGTATATGTGCAGGTGTTGCGTGTGTGTAGGTGTTAGGTTCTTGGTAAAAGCATTTGCCCTGTGAACAGATGTGTGCGTGTGTGTGTCTGTGTCTAAATATAGAACAGATGTGTGTGTGTGTAATGCGGTATGTGTGAATTGTTAAGGAGGGCCTGTGTACGCATAAAATCCTGCGTATGCACCTGTGCGTAAATGTGTGTATGCTCCCCTATCGTTTCCGTGCAGTGCACGTACTATATGTACCTGTGTATGTGTGTATATGTGTATATGTACCTGTGTATGTGTGTATATATGCACACCTGTGTGTGTGTGTGTACACCTGTGTATGTACGTGTGTGTGTGTGTACACCTGTGTGTGTACACGTGTGTATGTGTGTGTATATGCACACCTGTGTGTATGTACACCTGTGTATGTGTGTGTATGCACACGTGTGTATGTGTGTGTACACCTGCGTGTGTGTGTATGTACACGTGTGTATATGTGTGTGTGTACACGTGTGTATGTGTGTGTATATGCACACCTGTGTGTACACCTGTGTGTGTGTATGTACACGTGTATGTGTGTATGTACACGTGTGTATGTACACGTGTGTATGTGTGTACACGTGTGTATGTGTGTCTATGTACACGTGTATATGTGTATGTACACGTGTGTATGCACACACGTGTATGTGTGTATGTGTGTGTACACCTGTGTGTGTGTACACGTGTATGTGTACACGTGTGTATGTGTGTGTGTGTACACCTGTGACCTTGTCTAAAGGCGAGTTGTGGAGAATGTGGCGCTCCCACTTCGGTGCCGCGTGAGATCTCGTCGCGTGAGTGGCGCTCACGGCAATCGGCCGCGCGAGAGTGTGTCCAACCCCTACGTCCACTCGGCACGAAGTCCGCCGGGCTCAATGTCCAATCGCAGGGACCAGGTGACGTGGGGGGCGGGGCGAAGCCTAGCACCGTGACGTCATGATGACCTCACTGGCGGTGGGACGTTGGTGGGGGTCCATCTCACTACCGGGCGCTATGCTGGCCAGGAGATGTTAACTACCTCGCCTGGTCTACAGGAGGTCGTGGGTTCTATCCCTGACCCTGACGCCTGCTGCTGGATATTTGGAGTT